GAAAAAAAAAAAAAAGGAGTTGTCTGAAAAATCCACAAGCCAAGCTAAATGACAGAGTAGGATTAGAGTCGATCTTGATGATCAGTCATGAAGCCAAATGTCTAAAGCAGCAAAATATTTTAAAAGATACATAAGCTACTTTATTACAATAAATGTTTGCCAGGATCCTGAAATCCTGGGGAAATCAATCCTGGATACAAAATACTGTATTTTGGGTGGACAGAACAGCACAACACTTTTCTAAATGACATTTAACTGTACTGATGACACATGTGCAAGATGTAGATACCAAATCCTAATGTTACATTTTACTAACCATCAAGAACATAATCTGTCAGGCTAAGTTTTAAAATTTTCAGAAGAGAAATACTTCACTTAGGAACCATAAGGTGCACTTTTTCTAGATAACTGAAGATAACAGGTTCTGGAGAAACCAGTGATGCTTAAGCAAACATGGAAACAAGTATTTATAACAAACTGTCCTCCAGCAACACGGTTATAGAGCTGCTCGGGAGAAACAGGTTTACTTAGTAGTATTTCAGACTATAAAGTGTGAGGAGCATTACAGCCTTATACACACACACATTGGTTTTGTAATTACTACTTACGATCCTAAACAATAGCTTAGCATTTAAATGGAAAATCTGCTTACTATCACTGTGTAATTTATTTACATTATTTTGAAACAGAACAGTATCTTTTGTATGGTCTTTGTTAATAAATGGGAATCAACTCTCTCTGCAGCCTGTATGAGGACTATGGTAATAAGAAGGTGATTTCATCTGCCTATCTTGGATTTTTAAATATAAAGGGAAGTTTAGAGAGGAGAAAAAAAAAAATTAATGAATTATTAGCCAAATAACCAGCCTAATTTAATTTCACATAAGGTTAGGAGGATGCTTAAAAACAGCCCATGCACAAAGCCAGATGCACTGCTGGGTGACATGTATGCAATCGGCATTAATGGAGCTTTTGCGTCAATTCAAAATTAGCTGCAGTGTATTGAATGCTGCCTTGCCTCTCTCCCCGTCCAGGCCTTAGAGAGCAGAACATTTTAGCCATCCTACAGCCATCACAGGCGGTCCAGTATCCTGAGAGAGAAGCAAATTTCCAGCATGACTTGCCTTGGAGCCAAGGGCTCTATAAGCAAATTCTGCACCACCAGAACTTCAAGAGGGCATAATGAGGTAAGCAGCTGGATTTCCATCAACGCCGTTTCGGAAGTGAGCGCGCTGCCTCGAGCCACGGGAAAGCGTCGCGCTGACGCTGCTGCAAAGGTTCGCGGGAAGAAACAGAAAGCGAACGGCGATGCTGGTGGCACAGGACCCAGGCAGCAAGGCAAAGCCGCTAGCTGCCTGCAAATTGACATATGTATTTAATTAAGATATATTTGTTTGCATATTTGTCTTTAAAATCAGGACAGCTCACATGCCGCAAAGTGTGGTTGTTCACCCCGGGCGCAGGGACGCTAGACAGGTGCTAGGTACCGTCACGGTGGGGTGGAGGGGAGCTGGGAAGCGGCGATTTCAATACACTGCTGCAAACCTCTTCTTCCAAGCACGGAGGGAATGGTGTGCTCTATCCCAAAGGCATGTCCACAGAAACAGGTCCTAAAATTTGGTTCTATAAAAGCAGAAAGACCAAAACCTCAAAGCGGCTGAAGCCTTGTGAACAACAGACGACCGTTTGTGCAAGGGTTCAGAGGAGAGCAGTAGATTCAGAGATGCTCTAATACCTAAGCCAGAATTTGTATAGTAAAGACAATCTTATTTATACAGTATGCTGGTCTCAATATTACTAATTTTTCCCCATTTCTTCCTTTGCTAATCTGCTAAATTTGGTATTTCCACGTTTCAGAAGAGAAGTGATCTATTCTCCTCCTTGATTTTTCAGAGTAAAGCCAAATTCCAACGTTTTGAAACTGCTCTTTCAGTTAGTTGGAGCCACTGTGGGATTATTCCAGTAAGGAAGAATCACTAAAAACTCTCTTGATTGATCAACCCAGATTGACAGGGTATGATTACAGACGCATCACAGATACATAAAGCGTAGTCTAAATTTAGAATTTAACTCATCCTACTCTTGCATTTGAGTAGCATTTCCAAAAAACCCCTTTTATTCATACACAGACACACTCCGAGTATGAAATACTGTGCTGCTTTTAAAGCCCGGTGCCCGCTTGCACCTGCCCCTGAGCGCATCCATCCTAGCCCACCTCTCTCCCCTCTCCTCAGGGCAATACCAACCCCACTCCCACACAGGCGGCCTCTTTCCAGGCCTGGGTGGGCAAAAGTACAGACAAGGACTATGGGAAGCAGCAACCTGACGTTCGTAAGAGGGCAGGGGAGAATCCCTCCTACCCCGCGTGACAGAGACCCCACCAGCCTCTGCATAGTTATCACCGAAAACAACTAACCTGCCTCCCACTAGCAGTTTAACTCTGAAATATTGACTCAGCTCTCCCTCTCATCTGAGATCATAATTCCTTGGATCTTTGCATCTTTACAGTAGCTTCACGTAGCACGTGCCTTCAATGTACCTGCTGTGGCGCTTAGTGGTATGAAATCTCTGCTTCCAACAGAGCGGATTAGTGCTTTGGCACGACCTTCAAAAAAGGCAGCTACTTCAGGTATTTATGACATTGAGGTAAAGCGACAAACCTCTTCCATCGCACTACATCTCAAAAATACGGGTCAAACTTCACCATGTTCAACCACGAACATTTGGACGTAGGTGCTTTACAGGGCGGACCTTCATCAGACCCTTCACTAGTGCCCTCAGACCACCAGAGAAGAGGTTTGCTTTCCTTAGTCCTTGCAGTGGATGTCACTCCCACGTTTCTTCGCTTGCTTCAGTTTCTGCTGCTGCTCTACCACCTTCACCGACTCCCAAGGGCAACTGCTCTTACACTTGTAATTGCATCCAGCGATGCCTCCAGCAACAGGGGAAGCGTCAGGCTTTTGCTACCCACACCATTTGCAGAGTTTAATTAAGGGAAAGGGGAGAGAGGTGGTGAAGCTTTAGGAGCCAAGATCTGGAACAGAAAAAAAGTCGGTGCCGTCTGCTTTAAAATATGTGTAGCCTCGCTCCTTCTGTAATCGCATCTCTGAAATTCTTGTTTCCTCCTCTCATTACCACTTGGCGTCTGCCACTTCCCACACTGCTCACAGCACTAGCGATACAGAATATGGAAAAAAGGTTTTCTCTTTTAATAAAATTTCTGACATATTTCATGTTCTAGAAGGGCTGGATCACTAACTCAGTGTATCATCTTTGTGTCACTGCCACTACTTCCTACCGCAGAAAGTTTCAATTGGCTTTTCTGGGCATTAAGAGTTATTGGGACTTTTTTTCCCCAGGCAGGGTAAGTTGCCTGAGCAGGCAGCTCTTACCCTGGGGCGAGAGATGGGGAAGGAGGGGCGGGAGCAAAGATTCATGCCAAAAAGACAAAACCATGTCAGCTGCGGCTACTGGACAGCTGGTGAACTGACAGACTTCAGTAACATAGATGCTGTCAACCCACCAGCAAGTAGCACCTCGTATTACCAAAGTCTCAAGTGCATTCGACACAAAGCAAATCTCCTTCTCTTCGCCCAGTTACAGTGTTTGCTCTAGACTTTCCTGCTTGTTTTTTAAGGCAAGCCTCTAGCCTTTGCGTTGCCTTACTAAATCTTATAAATGGAAGTCTGGATAGCAGCCTGATTTTGCAACCATCCCAAAATGCAAAGGCGGTCCCGAGGATCTTAGAAGACAACAATTTAGTTCTCACCACCCAGGCTTTCACCTGGGGAAACACAGCATCAATCCAGAAGCCCTCAACCCAAGCTACAGTGCATTTTGACAGGCAAGCATTATAAAACCTGGCTAAAAATCCCAAAATAAAGCCAATTAAAAGAAATGGCAAATGAATGGGGAAGAGGAGTAGGAGACATTGCTAATCCCAAACATTCAAAAAATGAGTCAGTTCCGTGGAAGAAGTTGTGGGGGTTTATTTGTTCAAACCTCTACAGTAAGCTGAGTTCATGTTCTCCAGGTATTGACCACTTGAAGGTACCCAAGGCTTAAGGGGGGGCTACAAAAGTCTCATGTGGCCAGAGGTGCCAGCTTCTAAAGAAGCCAGCACACGGAACAGCAAGAGCTTGGGTAAGGCACATAGCGGCCGTCTGAAACCTGTCGTCCCCTCATGAAAATGGGGAAGGAGAGTGAGTTTCTTCCTCCCACAGATGGGAGCCCTCCTCCCCATCCACTTTCTAGCTTGTATTGAGAAGTGGTTAGTCATAGCAGGACACAGATGCGTTCATGCCCAGATGATGAAACTCAGCAGATAACAAGAACATGTTCTTGTCTACAGGCCAGGAGACAACCACTTGTTTTCCTTGCAAGCCAGATTTTATAACTCCTTTGTGATGGGGAGAACAAGTCACTTTTGCTTAGCCTTCTTCAGTTTCAGTGCTTTGTAAAAAGTGCTTTATAAAGCACTTCGAAGCAGCCCTTGGCATTCAGTAGTTTCATCACTTCATTTTGATACTAAATCAAGGTGGTCTCTAGTCACCTCATACCAGAAAGACTGTAATGTACTACATTTTCTCCTCTTTTCATCCTGCCGTAAGACAAACCATAGCACAAGCAATTCCTGTAGCATCGTGGCTGTGCCAGCTCTCAACAAGCGGCTGAATGGTACCTCATAGGAAAGAAATCAGGACCTGTATTACAAGTCTTCACTGTTCCAGTATTATTCTAGTGTAAGGAGATGAGGGGCTTTAATGAAGACTTCCTGAGGTGTTAGAGGTCAAACTAGAAAATTCTCCTCTCCCCTCTTTGTTCGTGGCTTTGTGTTCCATCTGGCTTTGTATGGATCTCTCCTGTACTGCTTAAGATCAGCAAGAGTCATTACCACATATAGCAGACTCAGCAGTGTCAGGACCTATATACATTTCTCCCCCCTCCAAGTGTATTATTGTGCTCAACATCTCAATGATCATGAAACTGGCAACAAGATATTTACTTTGATCAAGGTGTTTATTGCATCTCAGAGGGCACACATGCACTGGGGTTTTTTGTTCTTTTTTTGTTTTGTTTGGTTTTTTTTTTTTTTAACTGAAATACAAAGAAGAGCCACTTTGAAATTAGCTTTTTATAGAACTTTCCCATTACGGTGTATGTTATCCCTACAGCAAATTCAGATACAACCACTTGTAATGGTACCATACATTGATTAAATAGTTCATTTGAAAGACTTTAGGTGAATATCTTTCCAACCCGATATGCTTTTACAGAGAACTGCCAAGCCACTTGTAACACTGATCAACAGTGACCTCATTGAAGAGCCAAGATCTCACGCCAAGCCGTCAGCAGAAACAGTATGAGAACAAACAAAAAATTAAAGAAACACAGTATGTACAGTAAAGGGCATGGAACTCTGGATCAGAATTAAATCTAATCACCAATAGTACAAAAGCTACTCACAGCGCATTCGGGGCAATGGAGAAAACACTAGCCTAAGGCATACACAGGTAAGCACTAAATTAAGAGATGTACGTAAGAACCGAACAGAGATGAGTAACACCACTTGTAATGTTTTGACTACAGATATACCAAAGAGTGCTCTCATATTTGAAATCCCTTAATGCCAGCACAACTATGGTTGCTGTTTCCATCTACATGGAGAGAAACTGACCCTTTACTTATTTTCAGTGCATTTAGCAAGAACTGATAAATATGCCAATTTTATATGCAAAAACTTAAATAATTAAAATAGATCTTAAAAAAACAGCAATAAATATGGTATTCTTTCAGATATGATTTTTCATTCTTGGTAAATCATCAAAAAAAGTATTTGTTATGGAAGTTTACCTCTATATTACTTTAAATTATCTTAACATATACAGTGCCACAAAAATAAAACATTTTTCACGACAATTGAGATTCCTGTGACCGAAAAAAAAAAAATTGTATTCCACACAATTTCATAAGTATTTTCCTTACTATCTGGTATTATCACACTATGTTTCGTAACAGATAAAGGAGAAATTGAGTCCTAGGGAACTTCCAGGTGTCCTCAAAAAGTTATATACATTGAAACCTTCAAAAACCACAGACATCGCTCCAAATGGCTCACCAAACAACAGCTGCATAATCTGCCCCTGTGGGATAGGTTCAGAAAAGCACTAGAAGGCATCAGAAACATACATCCATTGTTTAAATCGTAAAACACAAATAACCCAAGTACACAAATTTCGAGAGAGTAGGGATAACAGCTAAGGTAGTACACATTCCTAATGTTCACTTTCACAGCTGTGCTACACGTTTCAGGAGGAAGAGAAAGTCTGAGTAAGCGCCGGGTTTGGTACTGGTGGCTCACTTTGAAACTCTGAGCATCTGTTTGTAGACTCCAGGCTCACGTTTTTATCATCCAGTCAGAAAAACTGCAGCTGTAAATATAGAAAAGTATTAGATGAAAAACCAGAATAATAAGTTAGGTAAAGCATGTTCTAGAAAAGAGCACTAAATCTTGCTCATCACTTCACACCTCAAAGGAGTCGTTACCAGTTTTTAATGAGACTGCAGTCTTCCCACAGACAGTTATGGATCTGCCTACTCATAAACCCAAGTTGAAAGCAGTGAGTCCCAGAAATGAAGGTGCATCTCCACTGCTGGCCATCTCCTCCAAGCACCAGGTACACTTCCCTGGGGCTGGAATTTGGAGAAGGGGGAAGTGGGACTGCGTGGTGCCTGCTAAGAGCAGCCTGATCCCAATCCACTGCTGCTAACTCCAGTGCAGAGGCTTAGAACAAGTCTCAGAATTAAGCTACAGGAAGAAAGAAAAGGGACTTACGAAAAAGGCTTCAAAGAGATGTAATGATTGTTCTTTCCTCACCTGGCAAATTATTCTAGTCTTAATTATAAAATGCTTATCTTACTTCTGCATTATTATTTTTTAATTGGCTTAAGTGTTCAATTCAAGCTGGTGTTTCCACTTGGCCCTCTTCACATGGTTCTCCAAAACACTCACAGTAATGTTTTTGCTGCCCCCCCCCCCGCTTCCATTCTGCAGTACTGGTTTGGTGTTTCTCCTCCATTTTTTTCTTTTTATTTACTCTGTTTTTCCCTGCTGTTGTTCCACAAGGCACTGCTCAGGACCTCATGCCTTCACATTCAGAAAAGCTGTGCCTTGAAAAATTGTATGGTGGGGGAGAACATTAGCTGGCAGCAGTTAAGAGATGCAAACAACCTTCCCTTGATGATGAGGATACTGAAGTCTTTCCTCATTTGAACCCCTCACACCTATGATACCAAAACTGTTCTCACACTCACAAGTCTGGAACAAACTTCTTCAGCACTGTTTTGCCCCCAGTATTTGTACGCTGTTATGATTCTATTTGTTTCGGTATTAATTTCAGGGGAAAAGAAACAACCACATGAACCCTTGGATTGAATGGAAACAAGGCAAAAATTAAAGTTATAGATTGAAGATAACTTTTCCTGGCAGTCACTTTTGGGAAAAAAAAAAAGCTAGCCAAAAGTCAAGCTTTCAGGCTAAAACTAAGAGTGTGAACAGAGAATTCTGTTTTCTGTTTAAACCACCACATCATCAGTGCATGTTTCTACCTATCTCTGCAGCTACAATTTTATCAGTCATGTTCAGTCTACTGGCCTAATCAACATCTGTGCGCCAGACACGTACCACAGCGTAACATGCTTAGGCAGGCAGTCACAGAATACCTTATCGTTTACAAGAAATCCTTGATGTTAAGATCCGCTAACGGGTCCTTTGTTGGAGGTTTCTTGGGACTCTGAGTAGCAGGAGTTGGGCTTGGAGAAAGCTAACAGACACCAGCCAGGAAAGCAGGAAAAAAAACAAAGCAGACAAGGATACACAAGCATTAGGTAGATATAGCTGGTTCTCACACAAGCACATTGCAAGCATACAAAGTTCTCCTTTTTCTGCAAGTTCAGCATGTTGCCATTTTGCTCAAGCATTGTTTAGACTCCATCCTCACTACAGGGTTAACAATGTTTGGCTGGTTTAAGGGATAAGGCTATAAACACTGCATATTCTAATTAGCATATCTTCAAATCACTCTCTCCCTGTAAGACAGAACGGTGTTAGGATCATCAACCCAGACAGAAGTTCAGCAATTGTTAGATGTTGAATACCAAGGTGCAGAATAAGCACAGTGCATGCTGCAGGGTAGGTCTGAAAATCCCAGCAACTGGCATTTAAGTACAAGTTGTTCTACACTGATAATAGAAATAAGAGTCCAAAGTGTAATGGAGACAGGACTATATTATACTCGGTTCCTCCTCTGGTAGGTATAAAAATCATCAGTTATTCCATAGGAAACTTCAGTTTTTCAGGTTCCATGCAAGTCTTCTCACTAAGGTGGCAAATGATTCTCCCATCTTGTCCTTACTCCTCCTCATTTCTACCCTTACTCTGGGCACTAGAGGTATTTTATATCTAGCCCTGGCACCTTGACGACTACCCTTCTCCGACAAAAAAATTGTTTTTGTCTTCCATAATACTATTCTTGATAAATGCAGAGACAGTTTAAGGTGGGAGGAAAAGCAAGATCAAGTAACTATATACGAAATGCAAAGCTCTCATACCTACAACCTACCTTCTTACTTACAGCAGTTTCCAGTTCTTCCCATTTCTACACAGAAAACCCAAAGTTCAACAGGAATGTGGTTCCCTACTTAAAAAGTGCAGCTTGCTACAGGTTGATTTGCTTAATATTTGCAAAAAAGGGAGGTGGCTTTGTTTCAAGCGTTACAAGTCAGATTTTAGAGCTGCAGCATCAACTTCCATCTCCCACCCTATTTGAAAGGCAAGATGGACTTCTGACTTACAAAGAAGCAAAATACTACAGCTAAGTCATTCCCTGCCTCTCCCCTGGAAGGGCCCTTTCCATTTCAGAGTTATTACAAACCAAACTCTACTTTGGAAAAAAAAGAAGCCTGGGACAGGTATTATGGCTTATGTTGCATCACCCAGTGGCTATGAGCTAAAAGTTTTGCATCACAGCGGGTACAGAGCGTTGCACTTCCAAACTTACTAGCTTTAAAAAGAATCCTTAGGAAACTATGAGAAGTAGCTGATACCACCCAGTTCAACAGGAAGGATGGCATGTCTCCATTCACTCAACCTACTTCATCATTAATTACTCCATTAGCGGTTTTTTTATCATATTAAAGAAAGGACTCATCTCTCCCTGGCAACCAGTAACTTGTGACACAATGCTTCCTTGTTATTTTTAATTAGTATAGAATTAAGAATAGGTTTGCTTTGGTTTTAGGTGGCCAAACTTTGTGTCTCCTTTATGTTTATCTATGTGATTGTCACAAAGTCAGACTAAGTAAATACAGTTTAAAAACATGAAAAATAAAGCAGTCTCATGCATCTCCCACTCACAGAAGAAAGACTGACTGAAGATTAGGATTATTCATTTGCATTCCTTCACCTTAATGAAAGTTAGAAGAAAAACTTCACTCTGCAGTATTTAGATTTGCACATTGCTGTGAAAAGCGTGCATCCTGAGCACTCCAGTGTTACATACACTACGGTAATTCATACTTGAATGCAGTTGTTTTGCACCAAAAGAAACCTAGCAAGCTACCAGCCTGAAACAGATAAAGTTGTATTTACTGAGAAACAGCTGTCATCCAAGAACTGGAGACCTTAGCTTGTTCATAAGCAGAAGGTGGGTTTTCTGAGGAATCTCTTGGCGGACCAGGAGGGAAGATGCTGAGTGCAGGTCTAGTGAATTTTGACAAGCTCTAAACACAATAGGAATGCCCATCAGCTCCACTTTGAGCTTTACTCAGATATCCCCCGAAAAAGATATTGGATGTAGTTAGCTGTAGAAGACTTTTCAAACCTGTTCCATTGGTCTCATACAAGGGAATTGAAGAAAAGCAAGGCGGTTCATGTGATCTGTTGCAAGTCAGGCAGCCGATACTCTAAGAAATCTCATTTACAGACCTACAGCTAGAATTGAACTGAGATAATGCATATACACAAGCTACTTTCTAGAGAAATGGAGAGCAATTAAACACCTAGCAGCAACACTTACCTGTACACCAGGGCCAGTGGCAGCTCCAAATGGTGGCCTCATCATAGGTTGCCCATACATAACTGGCTGCTGGGGCATCATGGGTACGCCTGTGCCTGCTGGGGGCTGTAAATTAATGCAGTGTGAGTAGGGTCCTGGACGAAGAAAGGAGAGCAGCATAACAAAAGAGCCTCACCATCCCAAACGCTGCTCCTGGCTGTGGGACAGGTGGAGCACCTCCTGTGGCAGGAACAGCACTTGCTGGAGGCACAGCTCCTGTCTAAAAAGAAAATTCAAAAAAATTAAGAAATGCAAGAATCTCTATGGCACCAACTATCTGGAAACCACATGGAGTCTCCAGCACTCTCAAAGTTCTAGAAAGTAGGACTGTTATGTAGCAGATAATACCTAACCTCAAAAGCACAATGCTTCAAAAGAATGAAAGAGTTGAATGAGTCCTTACATTGATGCTTAGCTTGCTTTTCCATACGAAAGCAAGGGCGACAGACTCCATCCTCTTCATGAATGGAGTCCATTTACTGAATACAACTCAAAATAGGCCCAAGATAATACAGACCTTCCTCCTCCTTCTACATAGTATAAGAAAACATCCAATTTCATAGCTGATACCCAACACACTATTGCAATTGTACCACTGTATTTTAGCAACAGTTTAAGCAGATTGTAAAGCTAAGGGAAATAACTGCTATAATTCGTTTCTAATTTAAAAAAAAATTGGTATTTTTATACAGTGAGATTTAAGTTAGAGAATAAGTTCACACACTTAAGCCACAATCACAATCATTACATATTTTACTAAGGAGAGTTTATCTTATTATGCTTTTCATTCATATGCTTAACTTGTTATTATTTTCATTCAAAAAAGACAAAAAAAGGTCATCTTTCACTAGGATTCAGGAAGAGCAAACTGTTAGTTTAGTAGTCTCACTGGATATACAGCACAAGAGCATCTTTGAACAAGGCCACCCCACTTACCTAGCAGAACCTACACATCCTCCCTTTTGGTTCCCTTGTCTGCAACTTCCTATGCACAGAGTCTCCTTACGGCACTGAAAGCATCCAAGTCTCTCCTTTTCACAGGAGTATATACGATCCAAATTCTTAACTGCTCTGAAGAGAGGCAGGAAGCATTCAAGGAAGAGCTTTAAAAATGGTAGTAGGAATTTTAGGAACCTCATGACTACTTTAAGTATATTGGCACAATTTCTCAAGCTCTTACAGAAGCTGTAGAGTCATGCCTGAGCCTCCACATGCTTGCTGCCTACCTTGAATCAGTTATATCCCACCACACTTGAAGAGCATTTAGCACACTTTCAGTTCAAAGGACAGCATGTCTCTGGAAATATGTGGGAACTGCTCACTGCACAGTCCACTTCCATGAATGCTGCATTTAGTGCCCTTGGTTGATCCTTGCTTCCAGACTAAAATATGCCAGTTTCTTAGAAAACTGAAGACAAGTCAAGATAACCTCTTCCAAATTCTTTAGTCAGCAAACGCTGTACAATTTCTAGCTAATGATGAATGTCTTTTCCAGTCTGAAAGTCTTCTGGGGAGCACTTGATTAAAAGCTGTACTATGCTAGCACCACAGCTGTCCCCCAAACGAAAACCAACATCTGGACACTCAGGTATGGAAAGCAAGGAATAGAAGACACAGATTAATGACATCAGATGCAGTGATGTGACTGCAGCCACAGGAACACATTATAGCTCACAATCCAGTTAGGGAGATTCCAGGAAAATGACCACACAAACTGAATCTGCTTTTGCCTCAAAGCACTAGGAGGGAACAGGCTTTTATGAAATTCTGCTGATTTTCATCCAGAAGGTGAAAGGTCACAAGGAAGGGAAGAAGTGACCAAAACTTAAGTAGCTCAACAGTGATGGGTGGCTTTTGGTCTCCACATTTATTTTTCCTGCAGATCTGGTTTTCTTTGGTTTCAAAAAAATACTTAAGTACATGATTTTGAAGAAATATATATAGGACTCATGTTTCATGAAATACTATCAAACCCACCCAGCTTTCTAGAAAGGCTAGTTACTTACCAGATGGTAAAACCACTACAAGATCAGGCTGATGTTACAAAAGTTATAGATTTCAGGTAGTACAAATCATCAGATAGTTCACATCCAAGAAAAGCAAAGACAGTCTGAAGCCATTATTTTCAAGCTTACAGCACAGAAATGGTTAATCACTACTACCATATTCAACACATTGCCTGAGAATTGTCTGCTGGACAGACAGTCCAAGAGCAGCCATGTTAGGTAGCTTCCAGCTAGTTTTAAGCCAGTGGTAATAACTGTAGTGCAGGTGAGGTGCTGTTAGTATCTTTGTGTTTAGTGAGTAAGCACAATAAGAGATCAAAAAAATTCACTTACAGTGTACAGTATTGCCCAGCCTTTCTATTAAAAAAAAAAAATTGACGTTACAACTAATACATTCAATGAAGTACCAAGTTCAGGGAATTCTTGTACCTTCCATAAGATTAAGGAAGAAGCTGGAACATGCTTAAGAGTCATGTTAACATCTGGCTGCGGCAGCAGGGAACTGAACTATGCTCCCCCTTGGCAGTCCTTTCCTTCCCAACCCAACTTTCTTTAAAAGGAGGCTGTTTTATGCCCTGTGTGACTTTGAGATGAGGTATGACCCCTCTTCAGATTACTCTTGTGGCTTACTCATGATCAAGTTGCCTTTGTGCCAAGTTTAGATTTTTAGCTCAATTCAACCCTCTTCTCTCGAAGTTAGTGCCGTCTGATGTATTTTACAGGGCAACTTTTCCAACAGACTGCTTTACTCTGCTAAACAAGCTATCCACTTCTAATCTAACATCAATCACCGGATCAGTATGAATACTGTGCAGTCTTTTGATTTACTTCACTCAGGAAAGCTTGGGAAAAACCTATTTATATTTTCTCCTTCCAGTACTTCAGCTTTGGATCAATACCATTGTCTTTTGGGCAATCAACCTGGGCCTTTTGCTGGCAAGACCTATACAGCTAACCACACACGTGGAAATGGCCACAGGTATTAAGCGTACATGTCGAGTAGTGTCTTGATACATATGCTAGTGTGTTTTCATGGACCTGAACTCAGTGATTTATTTATGCCAGCTGTAAATCTGGTTTTAAGTGTGACTTGGAACAATCAAATAATTTATACAGAAGCAAACTCTTTAGCTGAAGTAGACAGGAACAGTGCCTACATGTATGGTTGCGTCGTCTCATAAAATATTGATGTTTCAATACCAGTGGTATCAACGGATTAACCACCTACCAATGGACCACTTGGGACACCACCAGTTGACCATGTTGCAGGTGCTACTTTTGGCTGCCAGTTGGCTCCTCCCGTTAACTTTTTCTCTCCAGCATTCCACTGAAGGTCTCCCCTAATAGAGAGGGAGACACACAGAATTATTATTTACATACCCTCACAGTGAAAATGAAAACCAAATGCACTATACATTAACATCAGGCTTGCAGCTACGTTAGTTTATGGTGTATGCAGTTTAAGTTATTAACAGAAAGACACACCTTTAGTGCCACTCAGTTTCAACGGTTGTTAGCAGTAGACACCAGTACACTCTATACTGAAGTCAGTTATGTGGTTATCGCCTTTGTGGTGAGAATTAAAGAGAAATTTTACTTAGTATTAACTGAAGGTAACGTATTATTGCATATACCCTTGTAAAGTAGGAAGAGGGACTGCTACTGCCTATTCTACTGGGGCCAGGCAGTAGAGCTGCCTGCTAGAAGTCTTTGAAAGGTCATTTCATTGCTGGAAATCTTGCTCAAGACAGCTGAAGGAGGAAAGTATTCAGTTCTGAAAAAAGTTGATAGATACAAGAGAAACAAATCATTCATAGAATAAAAGGGCTGTTGCAAAACCAGATTTTGTTAGAGGCTGCTCTATCCAGAATAAGATACACCATTTGAATGAAATGGATTGAAGGAAGCTGAATTTTGGGGATAAACCTTGTAATGTGTTTATACGTATCATCTCCACAGAGGCACTAAACATTTTGAAGTACACACATAAAACTGGGCTTGCATATGGACGAAAACTTGGCACCAAAGTAAGCAATCAGTTAGATTAAGAAGACACACTCAAAAAATAAATGTAATGCTGTAAATGTTTCTTCTTGCAAAAAGAAGCTTTTCGCTGCATGGAATGAACTTCTATTTTACAAGTATTCCACTGCCTACACGATAAGCACATCCAGCGTCTGTAAAAAGATAACAAAACTATTACATATTAGCCTAGATTACTGAGGGGAGCTTCAATTATTATCTGGACTACTTTTTCATTTTAAATTGTCTGGAACTCAGCTATCCAATATGAAGACAGTAATTTACAGAAAAAAGTTTCTAAGACTCAGATTAAAGTCATCAAGTTTAAAAGCTATGTCAGGAACATTTAAATATTCAGTGAACCTGTATAAAATAGAATACTTTTTCCAGAATTCTTCTGAACTGATTTTTTGAGAGGGAGGGGGCACATAACCAATTAATTGATTCTTAATAAACACTGAAACAGATGTAAGACTATACAGCAGAGTTGAAAATTTCCATTTTTTTTTTTCTTTAAACAAAGTTGAACTTACTTTTTTGAAGTGGTACCAGAAATTCCAAGATCTGAAAATTATAAGAAAAAAGGAGAAAAAAGCAGTCATGTGTTTAGTAAATGAAAGCATGTCAAAGTAACAGCTCACATTTCATTGCACATGGGCTTATACAGAGTAATAAAGTTTTGTCTGTCTTCATTTAGACAGCATCAGAGGACTTACCACATCTACCCTTTCTTCAGGACAAACTTTTGAGGAACGCTGCAGATGTCTTATACTTGAGGAAGCCATTTTTGCTCCGTAAGCAAACCAAAGTAACAACATATTTAGGTCTACAAAATGCTAAGTTATTTAAGAGAACTGAACTATTTACCATGAATGACAACACTGGTTTCTGTTCCTCATTATACATATGGAAATAAAAAGCTGTTTTTCACATACATTTAAATATGAATGGTACCTGGAAGTTTTGCACTGTTTTGTCTACTCTATCATACATGGGAACTCCAAGTAGTTTCCTTAATTACTCTTTGGAAGATGTTTTAAGCTAAGTTTTAAAGAATTCTCTTCTCACATGACCAGTGTATGTCCTGTAAGTCACAAATTGCTAAGTTTGATTTTTCTCTCCCAAACTTGGATATACCAAATGATTTGCAGAAGAGGTTTCAAGTGATTAAGAGTTCTGCTGACTTCTAAGCACGGTTTCCCCAGACACTTAAGAGAAGAGTATGTATCATAAGATCAGTTACATCTTTGCTGTTATGTGTTTACCTTTATATAATCCTCCAAAGTACAACTGCAGTAGTATGACACCTTAGCCTAGGTGGGTCTCAAGTTTTTTGAGGGGCTGCAGCTACAGATCTCTAGTTATAAAGGCTCTAGCCCTTTTCCTACTACACGAAAGAACATTTTTTAGTTTAACATTTCAAGAACATGTTTTGGAAAGTTCACTGAGAGAAGGTCTGTTCTTGGCTGTTATGCACTCCTCACCCCACTGCGACTCCTCCTCTCATTATTGCAAGAGGTCAGCTATTTGTGTCTACCAGCTTTTGTGCTTCAATTCCACAGTGCTATCAGATGCTTGGACAATTTTCACCTTTCCATCTGGTATTACACAGGGGCACATCCATTAAGAGTCTGATGTGCCCCTGAATGTACTTGGGACATTCATACGTTACAAGTCATATCTACCAAACAGGTCCCATTATTTCACTCAGATCCTGGGTACAAAGAGGGCCAAGTTATGAACCCAGACTATCAGCTACCTGAATCAGTCCTTATTCCTGCCTAAAGCTTCCCTGATCTCTCGAAAGAAACAGGAGGACACTGAAGCAAGCTAAACTAGTCAGATATTTGGCTCTGTGGAAAAGTAACATAATTGTATGCCACACCACTTAAAACCAAAATTTGACACTTACTGCCTACTAGGTTTGCAAGAGACGAATCAAGATCGCTTCCAAGGCCTTTGCTTGCTGCTGAAGCAGTGACTGTTGCTGTGGCTGAAGGTGTTATAGACTGACCAGAAGGAACCATAGTTGGCATAAGAAGATCACCTAAGCCATCAAACACTGGAAGTGAAAGGAAAAGTGGGTTAGAACGGCAGCTGTGGGAAGAAAACACTACCTGCCACTTTGCTGTTGCTCCAACAAATATAGCACAGACAACCACGTCACAAGTCTTACCAAAACACCATTTGACATTAAATGGAATGCCAACAAGGGCATGCATGTCATTTTACTAGACGCTGAATGTACAATAATCCTGAATAAGCTATACCAATGAGAACTAGTATGAGAGGACATGCCTAAGAGGGCTTTAACTGAAGAGTTGAATCTACATAGATACAGCACCACTTGCACATGACACTATTTTTCTTACAGCCATCCTTAGAAAGATGTCAGATGCACACACATTTGTCAGGAGATATTCATTTAAAGGTTTTGAAAATGAACATCTTGCAGTAAATACCAGTCAGAATTACTGCAGCAAAGGCAGACTTATACCTTGACATCTTACGGCAACAGGATTGAAAGTCTCAAGATGTTACTACTCATTTGCAAGCAGCAGGGAAATCAGGAAAGCCTACTAACATCTTATGAGATCAGAAGGAACCAGAACCATCCACACTGACAGAGCTAGCCTCCTTAGTTCAGTCATCTAACTCCAAAGTTAATTTTTTAGATCCCTTAGAAGTCAAACCGCCTGGTACATCTCATGCCAGCATTCTATCTTCTGATCCATATTTGAGGTACATGCTAATGTTAAGTCAATAGGAAGGGGTAGCATGTGCACTGGCAAGCAACCAAATAATCAAGCAGCAGTACTACTTCAACCTTTATCTTGCACAGTTGCAGAACTCACCAAATTTAAGTGTGTAGCAAGGACCCAGCATGGAAAAATATAGAATGGAAGAGATACAAACAAGATGATAGCAGTGATGAAAGTTTAAGCTTATAGTCAGGCAAAGAACACGACCTGTCTCCATTTCGTGTACTTTCAGGTGCCATGCAAGCTCAAGAACAGCGTCAGCAGTAGCAAGACGACTTGCCTATATACTTGATTTACAGGACAGTGCTTTCCTTGTGTAATTCCTGATTCATGCAATCAAGCACATGCAAGGATGATGTTCACACTAATTTGTTGTTTTGTTTTTTTTTTTACTGACATGGTAGAATAAAAAATGGATACAGAGAGCTCTTGGGCGCAGACCAGCCTGAACACCACCCTTTCTTCCAGTAGAGAAGGAACAGGGAAATCACTGTTATTGCTTGTACTCAGAGCCTAAATATGGTGTCATTAACTCATCTAACACATAAAACACTTTAGAAAATTCACAGGAAGAAACCCTGTGGCTCACCTGATGCATCAAATGAACTGCCAGTCGTTGGAGCTGTTGTCCCAAAAGCTGCATCAAAGTTAGGCTGTAGTAAGCTGGTTTGAGCTGGAGTGACTGGGGATGGTGATGGAGAAGGAGCAATGAAAGAACCTCCAAAGCCTTGAAAAAGCCACATAGAGAGGTGTGGACATTAGAGTCGTTGGTCTGTGTTTAACAAAAGCTCAGTCTACAGAAGGCAGAATGATGAGACAATTCTTAGTACACCATTGTAAATAACTCAGTACTACATAAGCATCCTTGGTATGCCAGGTATGACCCAGGGAATTTAAGATGGAGAGTCACTAATTAAATAACAAACATTGAAGTTTTTGATTTCTGCAGAGGCAGACCAAAGCTGCAAAGAACACAATTCTACCAGTACTACATGCTATCGTTCCAGGTAAGTAATCTCACAGGCAGAATGCAACAAGCCAGAATTGGTTCAGAAAAAGAAAGAAACAGAGGACTAATTTGAGAAAAGCATATGATCACCTATCAACTACTTCGGAATCTCAGTTCAGAAGACAGTGTTTTACTAATCCAGTTTAGCCTCTCTTGCCATCTTAAAACATCTTTGTGTCTGTTGTCAAGATGTCTTCAAATAGCTTCCCCCCCCACTCCCATGTCAAAGCAGCATCAACAGCATCCACAGGTGAACTGCTTGTAGAATCTCCATGATTAAGATTAATGTATAGATTATAAACCCTATATTTCTATAAATAAACCCTACCCATGGAGATTCTCTAGCCTACAAGCAATGCATTCCCATGCTTGACTATTCTTAAAATCTCTCCCTTGCACTCTATATAATTTCATCTCCCTTGCAATTTAAGCTTACTTGTATTATCTACAGACTCTGGAAACTGATTAAACATGCAAGGACTCCGTCAAAACGAGAACAGACATATGGCACTTTCTCAATTTTCTTTAGTCTACAAGCCATTCCTCTTAGTCTCTTCTTGACAGTGATGTCTGAGACCTTCATACTACATCTTCAGTCTCAGTCTTGTTTTTTCCCAGCCACCCTTGCATAGCAAGGACCAGATCCGAGCTCAGTGCTCCAGCCATGACTATGAAAATACAGCATGAAGAGCACTCTGCATAACCCACAGGTTGTACTTTTCCCCCCACTATTATCAGAGTAGGAAGCATATTATTTTGCCACAGCTGAGCACATGACAGTGACAAGCCAGCGCTCTACCACTGCCTTCAGCTCCTTTTCAGGGAACGTCCTGCCTTACAGTCTACTGCCCTTATTTGTCCAGCTAATTGTTTCTGCCTATGGACAGAAGCTTGAACATTTACTCATTCAAAATGTAACCTTTGGATAATCTTCTCCAATTTTTAGAGACCACCTTAAGTCCTATTCTCATCCAAAGTAAATACAGATCTTTTCATGTGGGTGAAATCTGAAAAATTAAGCACGTTACTCCAACAGTGACATTGTTGAAATTAAGTACCAAATACAACTTGACAATTTAGAAGAGATCATCTATTTACATTAACCCCTTATCACTGCTTTCTGTCTTTTTACTTAGTTTGCCACACTCTTGTTTAAGCAGTCAGCCGATTCCTTTCTTCCTCTTCTTTCTTCAGCTTTCTTTAGTTAACAGTTCAGTGGGAAGTCAGCTTTTTAAAAATGGGAAAATGAAGAAAATTCTCAAGATTTTCTAACCACTTTTCTAACCACTGCTTTCCATGGTCACAGGGTATAACAGTTAGAGCACATTATGCAGACACCTTATAGTGACAACAGCACATTTCCCAGCTATGAAATAAAACATCTGCCAGACAAGACAGGCTCGAGCTCAACATAAAGAACCTGTGCTCAAATTGTGAGCATCAATTATACCAAGTGTTACTATGAAATCTTGGACGCTCTCCCTGAAAACTTTGCTTTCTCAGAGAACAAACTAAGGCTAAACACCAAACACTTTACAAATGTTGAAGGAATAAGAGGAATTTATACACACCCACTTGATGCAAGCATCAGACTTATTTACACATCAGATGCATATTTTAGAAGAGAAGTGAGTTAACAGTAGCTAATTGCATTCAAACCAAAAATCTCAGCAGGGAAATGAGAGTGGTGTGCCAACACCAGGTCCTGGGCACCAGGCCAGCAACTGCTGTACCACCAGCAGACAGGCTTTAGTTGTGGAACACCTGGCCTATATGAACAAATACATTGGCCCCAGACACAGGCAGGAGAGGACAGCAAACCTGACTACGCAGTACTGGTCCAGGAGCACACAACCTGATTAGAAACACCTCAAATTACAGCCTTCAGCTGAAGCTTGACAGATTGCAGGCAATAACCAAAACCACTCAGATCGTAACTTAAACTGGTCCCTTCAGATGCTACCAACCAAGGGCACTGCTTGGAGCCAGGGAACCAGGAGCAGGAAGCAGAGCAACTTGCTTTCTGCAGTCCGAAGTCATGAGCATTTCAAAAACCTACGTGAGCTTCCTTGTGTTTATTAGTCCTACTTCAGTGTCCTGGCACCAAGAAGCCCTTATCACCCAAATCCTAGTCCACAGGAACTCGCACGCTCACAGATACCAACTCTGAATCTGGAGAAATGCACTGGGATCAGAGATCTGCCCTCAGATCTCCAGGTTCTGTTCTTGAAGTGGGTTTGTCACAGGATAATTTAGGTCCCTTAGGCAGGGACCTCTGGAGATCAACCAGCACAACACCCTGCTCAAAAGCAGGTCTAATGAAATCAGGTTGCCCAGAGATTTGCCTTGGCAACTCCAAAAGGAGAGATTTCACTGCCTCTCTGGGTGGCCTCTTGTCATATCTGACCATCCTCACAGTAAAAATAAAAAAAATTCTAGTATTTAATCAGAATTTGCCACCCACATTACTTTTTTTTTCCTCCTATTGCTGTGCACCTCCAAGAACCTGGCTAGTCTTCTCTGTATCCTCCAGTAAGGTAATTTAGACACCTATAAAGCCTCCCTTCTGCCTTCACTTCCTAAGACTGAATGGACCCAGTTCTCAGCCTCTCCTCATGTGTCATATGCACCAGTCACCATCTTGGTGGCTCTGCACTGAACTCACTCTGCTATGTCTTGATCACTTACATCAAGAGATTCTCTAATATATTCCAGAAATCCCTTGGATTATCTGTGCCCAGCCATATTCCCCAGTGCCCTTCCAGCACATACTATGGTGGTTAAAGTTGCCCATGAGTGCCACAGTCTGTGACAGCGAGGCTTTCTCCAGCTGCCTAAAAAAAAAGGCTTCCTTTACTGCCTCTTCTTGATCGGCCGGTCTCTAGCAGCCACTTGCTAAAACATCACCGATACTGGTCTGTCCTCTGACCCTTACATACAAGCTCTGTCCTAGTTCATCACCTGTCCCAAGGCAAAGCTCCAGGCATTGAACTCTCTGCAAAATGTACTGACCTTCAAAGAATCAGACCGGAAGGAGGTTGACAAGATACAGGGATGACAAAGGCAGTTGACTGCAGCAATTCTTAAAGCACTGGAGCCATCTAAAGGTCCTCTGCTCAGTTAGATCCTTTCTATTTCCTAAGTGAGAACAAGGAGCTTTGCAGCAAGGTAGAGCTTAATACCGGTTCATAAGATTCTGTTTAGAAAGTTATGTAAGTTTTTGCAAAGCCCCATAAAGTGTCTGTTTCTCCAGCTACAGAAGAGAGTTCTCTCCAGCGTCAGGTGAAGTTTGCAAGATGATTGGTCTTAATTCCATAGCTTTTAGCCTTGCTCAATTTAGCAGCAGTATCAGATACAGAAGCCATAAAAAAATGCTTTAACAGATTAAGTTCCTAGTTGTCTAAGGCTCACACAAGACCCAGACTAAGTGTGCAGAAACAGCAGCAACTGAGTTAGATGTGTGGTCTGGACATCCCCAACTGCCTGATTTTGAGGTTGCTTTTACTTATAGGTTCAAGTAAGATTTCTTGTAAGAACATATTATTAGAGTACGTACTAGGATACACATGCACACAGTTTAATTGGATAGAGAGATCTAGACGGGAAAATGGCTAGATTATCAGCACAGTTTTAGTCTTGTCCGCTGAGAGGCTTAGAAAGTGAGTCAAGAAGAGACTAGAAACTTATTTGACAGCAGAACACTTAAGACAATGATACATAGTAAGTATACTCTTAACATTACGCATATAAACATTTAGTACAACCAAACACTCATAAACCATGAGGGACAAGCCTTCAGCCATCATATGGATTTTGGACACTTTTAAATTTAAAGCTGAGTACACTGCAGGCTATTCATCTGCCATTATCTAGGGTAAACAAATGCTTAGCAATATGCTGTGATGTTTACAGACTCTCTATATCTGCCAAAAAAAAAAATCAAATCTACTGGGAGCCCTTTTGAACATATACTCAGAGCAAAAAAAATAAAATTTTAGAAAAATCATCTATTCACTCCAACTGCTTCAGGTCTCCTTATGTATTTAGCCTTTTAACATCCCTTTTATAATTGAGGTTTTGATTTAATGTGACTCATCAGATTCAGAGAGCACGCTGATGAAGTTTAAGCCATCTGGAGCATAATTCCTACTGGAATTTAAGCTTAGTTACAGATAAGGACAAAATATTTCGTACTGTAATGTTTGCATAAGCAGAATTAGCTTCTGCCCAACAACATCTTTGCACCCAGTCCCCTGATAACACACACAACTGCAAATGCCCCGTATGTTTCAGAATCTGCTAATTAAAACCTTATCTCTAGCCTTAGGCTATCCATAGATTAACTAATATAAAGACCTATTGAAGCAATATTAAAACTAAAGGTGGTCTTCTACCTTAAAATCCCAAAGCTGCCTGTACTACAGCTTTAGAGGGACATAACGCGTAAATGCACGCTAAGCAGCTGGCTTGGCAGCACTGGAACTGACTGAGAACAGACACATACATTATTATTATCTAGACTACTTCCTGCAGCACAACTAGGTGATGCCCACACTTACAGCAGGTACTACAAAACATGTCCTCTTCTGAGATGGCTTCAGTGTGCAAGCACCCACTTTTATCAACTCATAGCACTTAGAACAGATTACGTACTGAGGTATCTCACATTAAGTATTCCTCATACAATGGAGGACCTCTCATGGGCATATAAAGGCAAAACATACACAGGGTTGGACTTCTGATACAGTGTAAGTTGGCATGAGAGACCTGCAGACATAGAGACAGCAACTGACATCAGGGTCCACCATGCCTAGAGTGGTTAGCAGTTGCTTAAAGTGCTTCTACCACTCCAGCTCAGAAGTAAAAGGTACAACATAAAGCTAACAATCACCTCCAAAGTTCATGAAGAATAACCCACCAACCAATTCTACTGAAGGTGTCTCTCACTTCTATGACCTTGTGCTCAGAAAAGCTCTCTCTCATCACTCCACTCTTCTTGGCTAAATGCAAGACTGCTACCAAGTCATATATTCAAGCTATTAACATTTAAGTATGTAGCCTGCCTCAATTAAATCAACCAAGAAACAAAGATGAATTAGCAGTAAGGAATAAGTAGCATAGCCTGTAATACTGCTTAACTTCAGTACTGCTACAGTCAGCCAAAGAAACTTTATGTAAACACCCCTATTCAGTAAACAGTACAGAAAAATAAGGCTTGTGTAAGAGGTAGGAAAATGAAGATCATGGGAAAAAGATAATGTAGGAAATTAACTTGTACTTTGGTATAGTGCCTCCTTAATTTGTCTAAAGTAGTCTAAGAAATCTTGTGAACAAGAATTTAATTCCGCTGCAAAAGTCCATTTATACCCAAGGAACACAAAAGATTTCAAAGACCATTTCTTAGTTTTAGTTCTTCGTTTTGTCTTAAAATAACAAGTTTTTAGAAGTTCTTTATTACCAGCAAGTAGGTCTGCAGAAGCTGAGGAACTAGAAGCAGCCGGGGTTGTGGGCGGGGGTTCAGAAGCACTACTTCCAAAAGCATCTAAAGGGAATACCAGAAAGCATCAAGAAAAAGGTAGAGTTCAATATTAAATGTGTCAATCCATGACCCATCTTAAACAAAATATGACAAAAGGATAATCACTTAATTCATCAAAAGAAGAAAATGAAAGTGCTTGGCCATCTTTATTACAGAGCAGTACCACGGATGCAAAGCTCAGGTGGAAAAAAGGAGGTACAACAAAACAGCACTTCAAAGAAATCTGTTTTTTTCCTACAGGGAAGAAGAGCACTGAAGAAGATATCAATATTATGTCAGTGAGGTTTGTGAGTCCTTTTAGTTGTGCCTGTTCTCAGAAAACCCATACAAACCACAGCATTCTAGGCAAGAGGGTTAAGCACTTTGCAGATGAATACATTGGATGATGGACTGGAGTAATTCCAGCCAGAATTTGCTGACTCACATTCATTCTTTTTAGAGGGATATTTCACTGATGTTTAAAAATTCACTACTTCTAAAGAAACATTTCTGTTCTACAATACTTCTAGAGTTGGTTGTGCCCATCCTAATTTCCACCTGACAAATCCAACACAGATCCTGTGATTCAGATACCCAGTTTGAGACAAGTCATCCTCAAACTTCAGCTGCTTTGAGAAACGGAACTGAGAGAAAACAACATGAACATGGAGACTTGCGAAGAAGAAAAAGCACACAACAGACTTTCATTGGACCTCTGAGGAAGAGCCATACATGCATTGACATAAGACAGGATGGCAAGTGCAATGACAACAGAATGGCCACACTGACAGCTTATCTGCAGTTTGTTGTGCAATATGAAGAACTGGACATGTTAGTATTAGCTGTGATGCTACATAGAAAAGCTGTGATAAGGGGAAGCTGCAGCTTTAGCCAAGCGCAAAGGTAATTAAAATGAAGTGATTCATCTCTGAAGTGGTGAGGAAAGAAAAATACCCACCACCAAATAGGTCAATCACACCTGAAGAATCCACCTTTGCTGGAGAGGCAGTGGGTAGAGGAGAGGGGGCTGCAAATGCATCCACTGCAGTAAGCATAGGATAAATAATATTTAGTATCAGCAAGGCAACGATAGCTAAATATTTCAAAGCCACATGGTCTCCACCAGTTAGAACCACAGGGTCAGTAAATTCAGGTAACAGTGTTCAGAACTGCAAACAGAAAGTGTTACACTTCTCACACAAAAAATGAAAACTTCAAAGAATTGTTTGTTAAGAATTTTCTTATGCTCAGAGGAAGATTTACTCTCTCAACAACCACATTATTTGCTCAACCTCAGTGTCAGCCCCTTCATAGTTTGCATCCTCAGCAGCTGCTAATCTTGTGACCAAAGTGTCAACAAACCCACAACTTAGTATTTCAGCTTAAAGATGTAAATTGGCAATGTCAATTAAACTCTTGAGAAAAAAAACCCCAAACCATAAGCCTGCAGGATGGCCTGTGAAGACAAGCACTTACCAGATAAGAGATCAGCAGTAAGAGAACTCTCAGGCACAGGAGAAGCTCCATGCGGCGGTGATGAAAAAGCATCTTCCAGAAATGAAAGAAAAACCAAGGAGAAGTAAGTATCATTCAAGTCAGTTTACACCATTACACAGCATCAAAGCAGCAGAGTATTGTAAGAATTCTCTCTTTACCTGTACCAAAGAGATCTATGCTAGGAGTAGCATCTGGTTTAGGTGCTGCAGGTACATCAGGAACAGACTCAAATAAATCTAAGGCCAAGAACATAACATGTCTTTAACTCATTTTTGAAAGGCAGGACTGAAAGCAGACTTTCAAGTTTTGCACATGGTATTTTGAGTTAACAGGCTCTCTGATTTGAAAGCCTCGCACACAGCATGCATGCAACAATGATTTGTTTGTTCTGTACTTCTGACAGATCAATCCACCAGAATCAAAGAGTTAAAAACAAAATTACCACCAAAGATATCTAGAGCAGGAGGAGCGGAGGTGGTGGCGGTAGCAGAAGTGGTGGCAGTAGTGGTAGTGGCAGTAGCCGTAGTAGCAGTAGCAGCAGCAGCAACAGCAGCAGCTGGAGAAGGAGTTGTTGCAGGAACTGGAGTGGCTGCACTAGTTGTAGGGGTAACTACAGGAACAGCAGTCTCTGTTGGCTTCATAGCAAAGAGGTCCAGCTCAGGAGCAGCCTCTGCACTACCTTCGGTTGGGGCAAAGGGGTCTTGTAAAAAGGAGAGGGGAAATATATGTGTATGCATACTTAGGATCAGTGAGGGAGGAAGTCAAGAACAAAGCAACTACAGGCAATGCACATACTGCGAATCCACACACGCACACAGAAGAGGTTGCTCTAACATCTAGCCTACTTATCCAGGCACGTTACTCATGTTTTTCCAAAACAGACCATCTGAAAAGCCTGAGTAGTCTAGCTACTAAAGGAGAGAACTTTCAAAGGCTGTTTGACAAGGCCAAAAAAAAAGACAGAAATATGACAAAATAACATCCAGTTTAGCAGGTTACTGCTTACAAAACTCATCACTGCCAGAATTGTTTATTGGCACAACCAAATAAGCACAAAGTTACTGGGACTCAGAAACCGGCAGTTTTTAAGCATGCTCTTCAGTCTAAGGTTTGTTTTGACCAATTGCAAACACTATGAAAATTTCAGAAAAACACACTGCCATATAGTTTAAACAAAACAAAAAAACCAAAACACAACAGCAAAACAAGAGACTATCTAATGACATAAAACCCACCATTTCCTGAACATGCATCAAGAGCTGCTGCTACAGGGGTTGGGGTAGCTGGTGCTGCTGCCCCTTCAGCTGCTGCAGGGGCTTCTCCAGGAGAAGCTGCAAAGGCATCTTGGGTGCAGTTTAAGAATGGAAATTAAAAGGAAAAAGGATAAAGAGAAGAAAAATATAGTAAAAGAACCAAGTTAAATTGCACAGGTAAATCCCCTTATACAACATGAATGTTTTTACTCTGACAGCAAGACAAGTCATGCAGCGCAAAATGCTTTGTCTCCCCCAACCCCACATGAGCAGGTTCTAGACAGGGTTTGAAGATGGAGCTTCTTGGGTTGCCCACAGGAAGTACAGTGAGTGCGAAAGAAGGCATTATTCTCATTGTATAAGGGTTCAGAGCAGCATGCCCATGTACTACCCAAAATTAACTAATGAAGAAAGGGCAGAGGTATGTCCGTAAGTTGGTGTTAATAAAGATATTAAATACTTGCATGCTCAAAGCCCTATATATATATTGGGCTCAAATAATACATGTGATTAATCTGCAACTGTGAATTTGCTTGCATAGTGCTTTGCAAACTTAAGCACTGTTACAAATAACAATTCAATTACATTAGCAGAAATCTGCATCTACCATTTCCAGCTTCTGAGCCAAGTCAGTCATGCAACATCTGAGAAATTGAACTTACTTGTTTCTTAACAGTATTCCAATCGGATCTTTCTGAAGCCATAACCTGATGCATAGGTTATATTTACTCAGCTTGCTTCTGACAGATGAAGAATGTTCATCTTAACTACTGGCTAGCCATAGTTTGTACCTCCTTCTTTGAGGATCACCTCTAAGGCCAACCAGTCAAGCCAGGGAAAACAACAGTTTTGGGCTTTTGGAATGACCTGCTCACGAGTTTTCTTTGACTGTTTTTTTTTGTTTGTTTGCCAGTTGCTAAGTGGTATGTTTAAATTTTAAGCTCTGAACTTTTACAGCATTATTCCTAGGCTTAAACCACCATCTGTAGCTCTTAACTCCACGAAGTAGTCCTAATGGACAGTGCCATGTAGGACTATCCTCATAGGCAAGCATTTTCTTCACAAAAAGACTGCGTAATTAAGATGAAATACTTCAAGATGCTCTTAAAGGCCATATCTCTACTGCTACAAAGGCAGCAAGTTACAAAAATTCTGTTGGGGAATAATGCAACTGCACTGTCAAACTACTACAGGAAAAAGCTTAACATGCTTTAACTTGACCATCAATTTTAAAATGAAAACAACCATTTTAAAAAACAAGTTTGTGTCAGTTAATCTAAAAAGCTTAAAAGAACATGCATTGAAACTTCAACAGAAGAGATGAAAGCCAGTCTTGTACAATAGAATTAAAATGAGTTAGTAGCAAAAAAAGGCCTGCTAATAAGCCATTTCAAATATAATTCTATTTTTCATGTAACAGGTACAACAATAAAACTGGATGGCAGTTGTCCAAGTAAAAAAAATCATAATTAGTAAGATGTCACAGTATTGTATGTATACCAGACACTGGAATACACTGCATAGAAAAAATTCAACACAGAACTGGACTGAAGAGTTTTGAATTGTACTACTTGAGAATACCCTATGTATATGGTCATGTGTGTGGGGTTTTGCTCTACAGGGCCAGCTTTCAGATGGAGGGTCACCCTGGGCTCTTTCAAAAGAACACATTTCTACCCACAAAAGCTTGTAGGCCAACAGCACAGAAGGTGGTCAACACTACTTATAATTACTTCCCAGCATGAGAGGATAAACTCCAGATTTCGTAATGCATAGAGTTAGTCACAAGTTCTATGTTGGGACCACGTCAGCCCTAGAGTAACACCTATTCCTGTCCAGATGTAGAATAATGAAGTTCCACATGCAACAGCCACAGAAATTCAGGTGGGCACAAATTCCTTCCAGCCCGCAGATGGAAGGACCAGCTAGGTTTGCACTACCTAGCTTGGCACCAGCTTTATTTATTGCCACTTCTGAGTAAGGTTCTAGCTAAGCAGTATCACTTTCTTTATCATCATACTTGGGTTAAATCGTAGGTGGGATAAACACCTAAGATCATAAAGGAATCTAAAGGAAAAATGCCATGTTAAGAACTTTAAATATTAATTACTCCGAGAAGTTCAAGAAACCTATAGAAGCATAAAGACAGACCAACCTGAACAGGTAACCCTACAACTCACAGCTCAAACCAAGGGCTGGGTTGTTTTTTTTGTTTGTTTTGTTTTTTTGGTGTTTGTTAGGTTGTTTGGGGTTTTTTTTTTTGTTAAAGTTAATGCTTTTCAAGTTCTTTGAAGCCTTTCAAAAGGCCATGCTGCTCCTACACAGATACCCTCTGCTAAAATCTAGCATCACATGCAGAAATGGATACAATTAAGTACTGCATTTGGGCTTTTTTTTGTTTGTTTCTCCATATTGACACAGTAACAATGTAAGTGATCCTCTCCCTTTACAGCAATTACTGTATTTACTCAGTTTATGCCACTTCCTTACATTTGTGCATCTTCTGCTTTAAAAGTGAATCTAGCTTTTGACTTCTAGAATCAAGTAGCGCATGATCCTCACTTGGGTCTACAGACAGCCTGGAAACTTAGAGAGATGTTGCTGAAACCTTCGCAAATTCATACTGCATGGAACATCTAATAGGAGCGATAGGTATATATTATGTACTGCATAATACTTACATTGTTAAATAAAAATAGTTATTATTGCAATGATGTGCAAACAAGGGCATTTTTAAATTCTGAAGTACTGAAGTAGTGCTTCAGTACATCGTATGCACAGCAAAGTAAGTGTTCCTGGAGTGGTCTGTTTAATTTCAAACACGCAGGCTTTATCTAATGCCATGGCATCAATATATAACAGAAGTTACTTACACATGCTAATACAGCTGACTTGCACAAAACATTAAATGATTGTAACATGTGAAATAACCCTATGGAAAGTCACAAGTATAGGAAAGAACACAGAACTAAAGTGTAGAGAAAATATTTTTTTTTTCTGTTTCCACAGGTTTTTTCCTCTTCACAGAATCAGAATTCAGTCATCCTTCATTACTTTTTGACATGGAGAACCTGACCTGTTTCTTGAGCTAACAAGAAGTATTCCACTAGGCTCAGTGCTAGGAAAGAATCACAAAAATTATGGGATTTTTTTGTTGCTGTTTGTTTTTAAAATAAACACTAGATTGCTGCATTAGCATGTTCTAGCACAAGGGACATTCATTAGCCCTCAACTGCCAAAGTCTTCATCACTTTGCCTTTAAAGGGAAAATGATAGTTCTCCTGCCCACTTACGATTCATGTCATCTGAATGCCTAATAACTGACATTTGCACAGTGTCTGCCATGACTTGTTACCTGCATGGCCTACAGTGTAATCACACAACAGAATATAACTCAAGAGCACATCACTAGTGTCCCAAATTCTATTATTGAGATATATGGCATTTCAAGATATTTTGCCTTTCTTCTACCTTTAGATTTCTCCCTCTCAGGAATAATTCCAGCTGCACGTTGAAAACAGCCTTCTCTTGTCTTAGAAATATGATAAGGAATTCTTCAAGTTGGCCCAGGTTAGCTGAAAGCTTGCCCATTAATCAGATAGAATTCTTAAAAAAAAGCTATGCTGGATCAATCCTAAATTTCTCATCTGCTTTCCAAGACCATGTTAGAGATGAAGACATAACGCAGAGCTGCTTTTGCTCTTAAAGACAAAGCCCAGTTATAGGCAGCGTGCAGGCTCCTATCAGCTAAAGCACCAGCAATAAAGTGCAAGAGAGTAACACTCAACACTCAGTCCTGCAAAGTCCCCTCTTCTGCTTCTTCCATCAGCTTGGCTGCCTTTTTCCTGCAGCTTTCAGCTTCCTTTCCCTAGCCAGCCACTCCTTGCAGACTCTTTACATTCTTTCTCCTGAGATCACTGCTCCTGCACCTTCCCCTACCACACCTCACTGCAAGGAACCATGTAAAGCAACTAAAAACTGGCAACCCGCAAAAAGTTAAGGTGACCCTGAAGACTGTATCTCTAGAAGACCTCAAAGGCCAAATACCTACTTAAGTGTCAGCATGCCTAGCACCACAAAAGCTAGAGAGCAACAGTGTCTACCCAAAAACTACCACTGCTTGCTCTATACACAGTCTTGAAGTAACAAAGAATGTTAGTATGGGACATCACTTACAGCAGAGGCTTCAGAATAACAAACAAAAAAGGAAACAAAAAACCCCACAAGTAGAGAGATGGAAGTTCAGTATGGACTCCAGGATCTTAACAGGGTTTGGCCTGTGGGTGCCCTGACGGCACTGCAAAACTACCTTTACTGCTGAGTGTGTTTAGAGATTTTTTTCTTCTTGAGAACTAGAGGTTTTCTGCTATTGTAAATAATAAAACTTTCCTTCTTCCTGAAACATTCCAGGAAAAAGTCAGCATTCATCTAATATACAATCCATGGGAGATTTACAGTATTTGAGCAAGAAAATACATTCTCTTTAAAAGAAGAGATCAAGTCACGGAAATCTGGAAACTGCAAATGTAAAATTCTTTCCACACTGGGAGGATGAAGACAACTCCACTTCTTAACATGTGCCTCTAAGTAATCTAATGATCAGTTAAATCTCTAGAAACTAAAATCATCCAGCTCTTTGCTACTTTATAAACATGGAAGCAGACACAGGATTTGGTAGCAGCCATTTTTCTAGGCACAGGATACTGTAAAAGGTAGAAGAAGAGTACATCTTGCCACTGTAGTACTGGTAGAATAGGCAAGGGTAGGTGTTTTTCTAATCCTGTTGCAAGTTTACGGTGATTTCTAGCCATTTAATTTTTTTTCATGTTAAATTAGTAATGCAATTTGAAAGTGCCATATCCAAGACTGGCTCAACCCCAGTGTCTACACACCAGAAGTTTCACACTCTATGCATCCGCAGGGGTGTTAATGAGCACAGACCTTGGCTTCTGCAAGTAACCAACATCAGACTCTCTTGCTCCTAGTGGTGTCCAGAACCATTGCCCACAACTATTTTAAAATTGCTTCTGAACTGCCCGACCCTGTGGCACTTGGACTATTATCCTTCTTCGTAAAAGGAGGGGTTTAGTAGCAGGTAGCAGCTGTACTCCTTTCTTACAGCTTCTCAGTAGTTTTACTGGGGATTCTTGGAGCTGTCTGTTGAAGTCAGTCCTAAACAAAACTTCTAACTGGGAACTTTCAGTTTCTAGGAAACACCTTTGTAGCCAGACTGTTTATGTATGAGACCTCTCCAGCAATCCTGTCACTAGAAGTGATAGATAAACACAGCCCTCAGAGAACACACTGGAATTCAGTTTTGATAACAAGTCATTACTAACTCCTGACATCCACTGTCATGCTGGAAGCGTGCATCACATGAAGAGAAAGCTAGAAAAATACAGTGATCAGGTGACCTTAGACATGTTAACAGTTAGTAAATCAGAAGATTTCTCCATTAACCTAAGCTTGTATAGTGTTGAAAATAAACAGTAATTTCTGACATGCTGTTGAGAAGCCTCCTGCTCCACAGCAATGACAAGAAAACTGACAACATACTGTAATTTCCTCTTACTAAAGAGGTTAGCAGCTAACATTAGAGACTGAAAGAGCGTAACTAAGCTATAAGAATACATTTCCTATACATCAGTTGTATAGTTGGTATTTAGTACAAGTTCATTGCCACTTTAATTTACTGTTAATGCCGTGTGAGATAAAACTCAGACTCAAGAATGCTGAAATATAGTAATTTCAGCTGGCTCAATACTATACTTACATGAAAGATCCAAACCAAACACAACACAAGCGTGACATGTAATGAAGGGGCAGGAAGCATCCATCCTCTTCAACTATGAAAGCACAACTGCTTTTCCCAGAAAATGTACTATAGTGCATAGTTATTGACTAATGTGGAAAGAGTACCTGCTTACCCCAGTGTGGATCTGAAAACTAATGTTCTTAGCTGTTCAACCATAAGGTAACTCAGTCTAAGTGTATACAGTTTTCCATTTCCACATATATGCAGAGGAGTCTATTAGCTAAAAGCACAGCAAACAGAGAGGTAGTTGGACAGTTCACATTTCCTGTTCCATCTAGCACCCAACACACAGGCAACTCTGGTATTTTTGGTTAAATTAGAGGCCTTGTTACAACAGCTGAACTCGATATTGCTTCATCTACCTTACACACTGGCATAGAGCACTAGAGCAACCAAACTAACCTCCAAAGAGATCCACTTCAGCAGTGGCAGCAGTAATAGTTGTAGTTGTAGCAGCAGGAGCTGAAGTAGTTGTAGTATCAGTAGTTGCAGCAGTAGTTGCACTAGGCTCTGGGGCAAATGGATCTGAAATCTGTGGCTCAGAGGTAACACCGGAAAGTGCAGCCAGATTATCTATATGCAACCATATAATGAAGATCAAACAGGAAAAGTAAGGGGAAGAGGG